CAAGTTTCTTGTTTGAAAACTGAGAAGGCGAAAAAAAGTCTCAATAAGGTAATATTGGTTGGTTTAGATATATCCCTCCAAATTAGTGACAGTGAGGAAAGTGCGCTCCATCTTTTCTTGATTTACATCATTTCCAGAAGAGCCAATCAATTCCTTTAGGATGGTGTAAACAAGTTTCTTGTTTGAAAACTGAGAAGGCGAAAAAAGTCTCAATAAGGTAATATTGGTTGGTTTAGATATATCCTTCAGTAGCCTAACTGTTAAAGGAATTGATAAACTCTGGGCGACACAGTCTGTGGAAAAGCTTTCTTTAACCAAGGCACCAGCAATAGTTTTAATTTCCTGACGTCGAAGTCTTCTATTTACACGTTATTGCCGTGGTTTCTAAGCAAAGTATTACGAACATAATGCATTAAGAATGGAATAACCGATTAAAAGATTATGAATAGGAAATACGAATAACTAGAAAACGTACTCGCCACGGCATTAATTTCTATTAGAGCTCACTCCTCTTATTTGCTTGAAAGTCGAACTTGTATTGATGGCTGCGCCGACTGGGGCTAAGAGTGGGATTGGTTTCTACACTCTCTAAAGGGTGAAATTAAAGTAACAACAACAACAATGTTACAAGAAAATCAAATACACGTACTTCGCTTGATGGTGTTATCTTAATGGCAGGAAAATTCAGTTTCCAGCACTGTTTCACTTTGATTCTGCCCAAATACGACGAGTCTGTTGTATTTGTCAATATAATAGAAATCCGTTTGCGAGGTTTTTCATTTTTCCTGCACCTCCACATTCTAACACAGTCTTCTTTCCAAAAAGGCAACTGACTGAAACAAGAAGTCAACTGCTTACACCAAGAGTGACAACAGGTTTTGCTAATAGATGTAGGTGTTTCATTGCCACATTTCATCCTATGCCAGATCTGAGACATTTCTCTAACATGCTGCTGACAGTGTGAACGGTCCAGCTCTGAGGGTCCGAGTGTATCATTAGGGCGGGAGCAATGCCCATCTGCGTTAGATACGAAAACATTAAATGGAGACATTTTTAGATGTCAATGCTGTTCCTCGTTCGTTCACATACTTTTTATACTTTTGTTAAATTAGTATTTTTCCATAAGTAAATTTATTTGATTGTACTTTTTTTTCACTTGATTTTTTATCCTTTTACTACTCGAATTCCACCCCAGCTAGAGATAACTAGGGTTTTCAGAACCCTCAGCTTTTTCTGAATTTTCTCTGAATTGTTAGGGATGGGCCCCGCTTTGAGTTTGATGCCACTTTTTAAAGTTTATAGACCGAAACCTCCCTTTGTTTACTTGTCCTCCCTATGTTGTAGGAACAATTACCAGCAATGACAAATCAGTGATCTTTTGGACTAGGTAGCATTTTATGATTTATCTGGCAAGATATAATATAGTGTATAACCTCTGACGACAGAGGATAATAAGTTGAACAATGTTGAACCTTAATGATAATTTTCTATTTTCCTTTTTTTTTTCTTTTTCGCCAAAATAATACATACCTCGTGCTGAAGTTGGCACAGTCATAGCAGCTGTAATAAAAACAAAACCAAAAGAAATGATTGACCAATTCACAGCGAATACCGAAATAAGAGGTGAGGAGTGGAGACGGGAGGGGGTCAGGGGAATCAATATAAAAACAAGTACTTAGATAATAAGCTACCTAATGGAGACGTGAGACTACCTAGTCAACCATATAGGGGCAACTGCTAGTAAAATCATTCGCATTTCACTCAACGCCTTGCAAGCGTCGTGCTTTACCAGTCGCAGAGGAAGGATTTGTAGAGGGAGAAGCGTTACGCGACCTAAAACAAATCTGACACCCTCCACTTGTGGTGAAAACGTACAGAGTTTCAAAATATGCTTAAAGAAAAGAATGGAAGATATTCGACGATAATGTGGAGAAAATGACACCTAATTCAAAACCAACACACTTAATCTCATTGGAAAGGAAAGTCATTAAAACATATCCTGGCCGGAGCTACCCTGAGGGCAGAAGTTTAAAATCGCTTGCGAATGGCAGTAGTCCTGGAGTCCCATCAATACTTTTTTGACTCGTCATTTGCTTCTTGTGAGCCGCACCTCGCGCGGAGTATGTCGACGCTTTGATGCAATAAAATCTCTACAAATTAGCTCTTAGTTGAACCTTTTTGGCCTTCCCGCCATTCCACGGGTTGAAGGTGGCCTTTGAAGTAAAATCCATTTCGTTTTCTCCGTGGCTTTAAGCATTTCAAGTGAAGGAACGCGAGAAGCCATCGACGGTTCCAGATACAAGAAGTTTCCTCGAGGAAATTGCAAGAAACTGAAATATGTGTCTAAAATAAACAACTCATAATTTCAGAAGACTGCCACAACCATCTAAGACCTTAATAT